TTTTATTCCTTGATTGTTTTGGTTATAGGACAGCTATAGGCAAAACAAAAACAAAAATCCAGTAACTGAAAGCTTGGTTGCCTTTGTGTTGAATATTGCAGTTGAACTTTGTATAGATACTTGAGTAGAACCCAGAATTCATATTATGTATTGAAGTACATCTATATAGATTAAAGGAGAATTGAGGGAAAGTGGTATAGATCATGTCTCAAAAATTTCCTCTCTTCCATTTATAAAAGTTTAATTTACTCTTTTGCCAGTCCTTATTTTTTATCTTCTTTGGAGGATATTCTTTTCTCCAAAACATGCATCTGAGAAATGTTATTGAAGGGGAAAAAATGCCTTATCATTGTGAACTTGGAAAGTACAGGCTGACATCTTGAGCTGACGTTAATTACTACTCTAAACAGGCAGATTGTCTTCCTAGATAGACTGTGGAGAAATCTCATTTCAACAAGATTGCAAGGCATGTTTGTATTGATTAAAAAAACATTTGCACTTCTTTGATAAAACTGATTGCTACTGTTTAGTTGCTAGTAGAATATGTTACGTTATGGTAAATCTTTGAAATGCAGGGTTGGCTCATTATTTTGCAAGCTGCTGCTGCTTTTATGAGAGAAAGTCTAGGAACTGTCTACCAGTTATGCCAAGTGTTTCTTAAAGAAAGCTAAATTTCATTGTCATGGATCCAGATGTTCTCTGAAAAGAGGCAATGTAGCGCAGGATACATTGCTTTAACTCAAGGAAAGCCTTTGGACAATAGCCAGGTTCTTTGTCTACATCCATATTTATATTTTGTATAACTTGTATTTTATACTATAATTGAAATTCTTTCTAATTATTAATTTAAAATGCATTTCTAAACATGAAATTTGGAACAAAGTCCTTATTTAATGAGTTTAGTCTTGTGTTACTATGGCTTTGGTTTTGACCTTTATATTCCTTCTTAACATTTTCCTTTAATTTAGTATATTTCCTTTATTATGTATTGCACCATTTCTTACATTTAATGCTGCAGAAGAGTTTTCTATGACACTTTTCAGAGAGCAGATTCCCCTCAAGAAGGCTTAAGCCACAATATTAAAGATAAATAATAAAAATCAGTAAAGGTACAATCCAAAACCAAATATGTTAGAATATAATACATAGAATTATAGCCATTCCTTGATACTTGATTGCTTTGAAACTTGTCAGATTTGGTATTTGAAATCTAGATTGAAATTCAGTATATATTACAAATTCTGATTTCTGCTTAGTTAATTGCTATAAAAATGAATGCTGTCATGATACAGGTGCAGGATATATATGATAAAATATATGGAAAATATCATTGATCACAATGTTCTAATTAAGTAGAGATAGAATGACCGCATAGACCTGGCAGACTGATGGAAGAACTGTAAACATAACTGAGTAATAAAATGTGCATACTACTGCTGAGAAGCAGCTGTCCTTGTGTATTTTATATACACAATGAAATGCAAGGCAAAATAGGTTGGCATTGATATCTGTGTTTCTAATTTTAGTAGGCAGATCTAGTTCAAAAGCTGGATGCCAAAAAATTTTTTTTAAAGACAACAAAACTTACAGAATAGGAAACCAACCAAATTGCATTATGAAAATTAAATGTATACTAAAGAAAGATATAAAAATAGCAGAGGAACTTTATGAACATGTGTGTCTGCTGAAGGTATAGGATAAGAACATCTGTGTCATGCCTAAGCCCCAAAACAATACAGTGAAATTCAGTTGAGCCCAATTTTTTTATTTGCTTGTACCTAACAGACAGAATCTCACCAGACTATCTAACCTAATAGATACACACCGGGAGATTCTAGGGAGCGATTGCTATGAACCTGATGACTATGATCATGATTTATACTTATATCTTTTATGTACACCAAGAGCTTATGCACCAAAGACAAATTCCTTGTGTGTCCAATCACACTTAGCCAATAAAGAATTGTATTCTTTTCCTCCCTCCCTCATCCAGTTCAGGACTGTACAAGGTCTTATTTTGGGGCCTCTCTCTGAAATATGTTTCTTCCTCCCTGGAAAGCCAGAGTGGAGGTTCCCCCTACCCACTTCTTTTCCAGGTGCACATTCTGTCATAATGTGCTGGAACAGACTTTTTCAGGAGGTTAAGTTGAATGACCTGGTCTGTCCTGCCAATATTGGTGGAGGTGTGGTTTTCTCCTTGATAGTATTTATTAACATTCAGATGAATACTAAATAAAAGTAAACATTTTGAAAAAAATATAGTATGTTTACACTTGTCTGAATAAATATTAACATTCAGGCAAGTACAAATGTACTGCAGCAACCTAAAACAACAGAAAAAGGAGACAGATCACTTATACACCTTCTTCCAGCAAAATGGATACCCATGCAAGTTTATCAAAATTATCTGACCATGCAGACCACTATAAAACAGCTAACATAAGTTATGAAAAGGTTAACACTAGCAAAGATATGAACAACTCAGACACAACAGACTATTATAACCATATAACATCACTCATCACTATAGGACACAAAACAAAGTCTTTCAAAGTGTCTTAGGTAAACCAAAAGACTCAGGAGCCCAAAACAAAATAAAGGAAAACCCAAAACAAAACAAAGAATAGGAGTCATCCACAAGATAGGACTGAAATAGCCACTATATAGGACAGACAGGCACATCCATGAACACCAACTAGCAATCGGAGGATGCAATAAACACTTCTTAATCTCACCAACATGGACCATAGTTTCAACTGGGAAATTGTGAACATCCTAGATGAAGCTAAATTTTAAAAAGCTACGGAATTCCTGTAAACTAGGCAATTTCAGCAGATCAGTCACCAATAAACACAGAGGTAAAGCACATTTACATAATGTGTAGTGTCCTTTAAAAGACAATAAAGGACCAGAATACATCCTTTCTGGCAGCCAACATTCATATTAGCAGGGATTAATACCAGGCAGTCAAGCAGTAATCTATTTCCTAATCAAGAAACTACCGAGAAGAAAACCATACCTCCATCAGTACTGGTAGGGCAAGCTATTGCATATAAAACTCCACACAAGCTAGCACTAATGATGTTATCTTGTTGGGTAATTAAATTCTGCAAGCAAACAACCAAACTCAGAAAGCACCAAGAATTCCACAGTTCAATCCCGAGTTACCTATACAGTATTCACTACTGTTGGAACAGCAACAGAAATCATGGAATTGTCTCTGATAATCTTGCTCTTAACTGCACTGTATCTAATAGTGTAAAAGGCTTGTTTAGATACTGTCAAACTTAAAAGAAAAAAGGATAAAGAACTAGATGCCTTTTATGTTCATACTTACAAGTATATTTTAGTAATGTTTTGTTTCTGGCAGTTCTATGTAAAATTAAGTAAGAAGATTTTTGCTTGTAATCTTTCCTGTAATCTATCTGAAATACCGTGTTTCCTTCTGCTGTTCTTGCACATTTTCCGTTTGGGATCTTAACATCCCTAGGTGTTTACTTCAGTATTGTTCTTATTATCTCTGAAAAAAATATTTTGACAGTAACTATATGTAAATACAGTAGCTGTGTAGGACATGAATTAAAAAGTTGTTGATACTTTCATAGGAATTGTTGCTGTGCTGTATTTATTTAGTGTATGGCATATCATACATGGATTAGCAATATAAACATTTCATCTAAATTAGTAGAGCACAATAAAATATGTTAAAAAGATCTATGTTCAAATACTAACGTCTAGGCCATCTGACCACTGAAGCGCAGCATCATTTATAATAAAAAAGATCAGATACTGGACTGGTATATATCCTCTGCTCACGATGTGATCTACAGTTTGATGTGGGATCCCAGTGTCACACTGAGGGAGGATATTGTACCCCATTTATACAGACATTCCCGCCGTATGAGGTGTGAATCCTATTCAGGATTATCTACTGCTTTTCATGACATGCTATATTCATGAGAGTTTTGCTGAAAAACAATTTCAGGGGTATCAGTTTTATATTCTTTTACTTTTTTCTTGTGAGATTAAATATTTTTACAGTATATTTTAGTTGAGAGTAGAATTGTAACTATTATAGGTTAGATCTATGTTAAAGCTCTTGTTTCACAAGTCCATTAAAATTATATGCAACTTCAATTAAGGAAGTAGGTCCAAAAGGGGAAAGATTGTCTTTTCCCTTCTTTTCTGGCCATTTAATAAAGACTTTTCCTTCTAACCAATGATACTTTAAAGATTTAATGCACAAGATTCATTGAGAGGTTTAGGAATTGCAGAGAGGTTCCATAAACTCCCTCTCTTATTTCACTGTTGATGAAGGAAGGGACCAGATATTATTATAGTTTTAGGGATAAATCTTAAAAAAAGAAAGAATTGCAGCTCTCCATAAAATAGGTTTAGCATTTGCTTTTGGGCTTTTTGTGTAAGTAGAAAAATACAGAAGCAAATGGAAGGAAAGCAAAACAGACAAACTATAACCTAAATGCTAATATCCTTGGCTGAGAAAGGCTCTCATTCACAGTGGAGCAAGCAAATTTTTAAGGGCTATTTTAGGATTTTCTACTTTGTCCAAAGATTATAAGAGATATTGCTGATGACTTTATATCACGAAAGTGGCTATTGCTGGCATTTGGGTTTTTTTTTTTTTTTTTTGAAGCTTTACATTTTGAGAAGACAATTGTAGAGGGGCAGAATCAATTTAATACATACATTTCAGTTTGGGGAAAATAAATCATTGCAAAGAATGCAGGAAGAGACTTAACTACCATGATGTACTGTGCAGTTCCATATTAAAAACCCTGACATATTTGATATTGAATTATTTTGCTAGCTAGCACTGAAATAAGTTTTTGAGTAATTAAGAACTTTCAAAACCTGAGATATAATTATTTGCTTTACAGTACTTTTGATTTTAATTTCATGAGTTTACTAAGATACAGTTGCGTATAAAATACTTCTTTAAGTGCCGAAGTAACAATATTTCATGTATTTCCCTATTTCAGCTGAACTTGATACTGAGCATGTTCAGAAAGTGCTGGACATGGAGCATACCCAGGAAATGAAGCTAAAGGAGCGGCAGAAATTCTTTGAAGAAGCTTTCCAGCAGGACATGGAACAGTACCTCACCACAGGCTACCTGCAGATAGCTGAAAGACGGGGCAAGTATTGCAAAATTTCATTTTAAATCTCAAGGGAAATGTTTTTTCAGCTAAATCACAAAGCAGACTCACTGAGCTGTTCCAACATTCCACTGGATATGTCTTCCATACTATAATCTTACTCAAAAAGGTTAGAAAGAGTGATGTGCTCAAGGGTACTCCTTTTTAAGAAATGAGATTAGTTGATTTTAAGTATAATCAGAATAAAAAACAGTGTATTCTGTTGTACACCTTCGCTCTAATTGCAAGACTAGAGTGGCCATTGTGACAGTTGCTCATCTGGGAATAGATGCAAGAGTTAATGTGTATTGCATTGCTTCAAACTGTAAACAGAGAAGTTACAGCTTACGTCTCCTATTTAACTATTTTCTTGCAAATTAGTGAGCTAGATGGCAGAAAGTACAACTGTAACTTGTATCTTGCTTCTCATCAAGAGAAAAAAGGTTAATCAGAAATTGGCTCTACCCCAAAGGAAACAAGTAAATAAAGAAGAATTCTACTTCTCCCTAATGGGAGAGACCGTTAGAAGGATGTAAACACATAGGGTTCTTACTTGAGTTCCTCATATAACTGTTATTGTGATTGATATCTCCAAATAACTGCTGGAAGAAGACATTGACATTTGCATTACATTATCTTTTTACGGAAGCTGTGGGCATTGTTGTTTCCTGTATTGATTAGTTGCATTATTTAATGTAACGCTGTATAAAAATATTCTTTTATCTGGCCTGAGCTTTGCTTTGTTCTACTTCATTGGATCATGCAAGAGAGAAATAATTTCTGTCTTTTTCACAGCATATATAATTCTGTGCCTTTCCTTAAGAATTAATATCCTACCTTGAAGGATGTTTACTTCTGGCCTAAAGTCAATTTGGTCCTAATCCAAGACTTAATCTTATACCAATCCATATTCCCTTTTCTTTCTATACCAGACCATACTGTTTTTTTCCTTTCTCCTAGGGCCGTGATGGCAAACCTGTGGCACGCAGAGCCATTTGTGCCAGCACATGAGCTGCAGGCAAACTTACCTCACTGAGCATGTGCGTGCCTCACAGCTGATTTTGGGCCGGTTTGAGGTCCTTTTCTGCCTCCCAGGGGCTTGAGGAAGGCTTCTGCAAGCTTTGCAGGCCGAAAATTAGCCCCATTTTATCACTTCCTGTTTTTCTGAAAATACCAGAAGTGACGGAACAGGGCTAGTTTTCAGCATGCAAAAGCCTGCAGAAGCCTTCCTCAAACCTCTGGGAGGCCAAAAATCAGCTGTGAGATGCAGTGCAGGTAAGGGGGCAGTGGGGGTGGGGATTCTGCATGCATGTGTAGGGTGTGTAGGGGGCACGCATTGCCTTCTGGATGCTGGCACGCAAGCATGAGTGTGGAAGCACGTGCACAATTTTTGGCACAGGAGCCCAAAAAGGTTAGCCATCACTGTCCTAGGGTAATTGCTTCGGCCCCCTCACCGTGTTGGATGATGCTCCAGCAACTTTGTTGCATGTTATACTTGAAACTTCTGGAATTAAAATGGGTCGATAGAAAAGTTAATGCTTCTATTTGTTAGTGGAAAATGGGACCAGGAATGTGCAGACCTTGATGGAATAATCTGTTGTTTCCTGGAATGTCTAATCCTGAGAGTGATGGTTTTCTAGAAATCTGGATCATTGATTATACTTCTAAAACAGGAGGAGTGCATCAACATGTCTACTGTCTACTACTGACCTCACTCCTTTTCTAAGAGGTCTGTAGGGGACGTGTATAAGCGCACCAACGTGCCTAATGTCCCTGTCCTGTTGTTTCTTTTTATTTTTCTTATATGTATCCATTTCATGTACTCATAACTATGTACTGTATGTACTTATACCTGTAATCACTTGACAAATAAATAAATGTTAAGGGAAGAGAGGGAACATTCTGCAAAACATAGAACCTATCCATTACTGAATATAAATCACCCAGTATTCCTTCAATTATAATTACATTTTATATGACTCAGAAACTTCTAAGAAACTATCTCAATTGTTTATATTGGATTTCAAGTCTTCTATTACTCCAAACTATTTTTCTGAAACTCATAAGCCCCGATTCATCCTTTCAGGTGCAGAGAAGAAAATGGGGGTAAACATTAAATTTTACTATGAATTCCTAAATATGAGTAAAATTTGCTGATTTATTTATTTATTTTAAATTTCAGAGCCAATAGGGAGCATGTCTTCCATGGAAGTGAATGTGGACACATTAGAACAAATGGACCTTGTTGATATGTCTGATCAAGAAGCCTTAGATGTCTTCCTTAATTCTGGAGTAGAGGATAGTTCTTTGCCATCTGCTATGATCGGTAGTTGTTTCTCATTGTCTTAAATGAATAAACACAGTAGAGCTAATTGAGTCTTTCTGGTGGGATAGATTAATTTTAAATCAAGATATATTTTTTTTCTTGTAATCAAAGAATGTACTAAATGCAAGGCTATTTGATGTCATTTTGCTGTGTTGGCTTAGAAGAGGCTCTCTTAGGAGGGGTCTCATTTATGCTACCAGAGAACACCCATTATACTTACAAAGTTTAAGTTTTCTGCTGGCAACATGTTAGATTGTAGGAAATGATGGAGCTATAAAATCCAGAGCCCCTGATTCAATTGAATGCTAGTTGAGATTAGAAATATTAAAATAAACTAAGTACAAATGAAGACAGTGTTAACAGAGCACTTATAACAAGATCAGAATCACACGCAACCAAATGCACTTTTATTTTATGTGAGATATTTCAAAAAGCCAGCTATTTGATCACATCCTCCTACCTCCTACAGAATTTGGATTCATGGTGTGTAATAATATGAGTACCTGTCTGATAGCAGAAGGGAGACATAAAAGTTCTTTGGATGAGTTGCATAATTTGGCTTAAAAGGTTGAAATAAGTTCGCTTTGCATATCATAATATAGTAAGATATACAACTGCAGCTGATACACATGAACATTTCAGTTAGTAACAAACCTTAGGAAACTGCTTTTGCAGCAAGATGGATAATAGTCTATCATAATACGTTCAGAAGAAGGCTCTCTGATATCTAGGCAATTCCAAGATAGCAAGATAGCTACTGGAAACTACATTTAAAATCATTTTGCATTTCTATACCCAAATGCTGTTTCAGAATCTCTCTTCCTTGTTCACTTTGCATTGATAAAAAGAGCCCTGAGGAAAGACCATATTTGTATTACAAAGCTCTGGATGTCCTTCAGCGTGCCAGGGCTCTCTCACAGTATTTGTTAGCCACTATCTGAAGCAGCAGCATTTTTTCGCATTCTCCTTATAGATACAGCACAGTTCTGCAAAATAATTAGGTTGGTTTAAGGAGTTGCTGAAGGATGTTAATGTATACTAAGATCTGAAAGACATTTTCTTTCCCTGCAAATCCAAAGTCTATGTAAGCCCCGGTATTTGTCAAAGATTGTTAAGGGAACCACAAGGCAAAAAAAAAAAAAAAGCTTTAACTAAAAAGTGAAGATCACTAATCAAATTCCACTTGGTGGAGTTCAGACTCCTGAGACAAGGATGCTTTTGGCACACACGTAGAGAACTAGAACATTTCTTTCAAGTAATTAGATTGTTCCAGTTTTTTAAAAAAATAAATATGGGCCTAATGGACACCAACAGAAGCCATCCAATTGCTCTCTAGGAGAATCACATTAAAAATTTGGCCAGAGGCCTCCTTTTATGAAAACCCCCATGTTATGCCTGTCCTTTCTTCCTTTTCATCATTTTAAAAATATTTGAAGAAGGATTCTTCAAATAGTTGGTTCACTAGCAAAAAATAACCTTCCATAATATACACTATGACCATTTATTTTTTAAAAATATGAACTACAATTTGGAAAAGAGATAATTAGTTAATGGAAAGTACTATAATCTTTACTCCCATTCTTTTGCTGTTTACTTTTCCTACATTAAAAAAAAGAATATTGTACCAGTTACATATTTTTATCTGTATTCTTGCAAAGCACATAACATGAACAGATGTAATTCGAGTACCTGTAACTCAAGTTCTTCAAGTAGTGATGACCAAGAATCCAGCCAACCCATCTGCATGGCCCATTTGCTGTTCAAGGTTCCTTTTCAGGGATCTGCTGTATCAGAAACTATTGAGAGTTTAGTGAGAGCATGCCAGTTATGCCTGATATTCACAGAGGATAGGACCCCTACCAAAAGAGCTATTATTGAGTTGGGAGTGCCCTAAATATTGCCCTGTGCAAGATTCAAAACTTGTCTTGGTTCAAAGAACAAAGGAGAGATTTCAGTAGTAGATCTCTATTGGTCTTGGGATTCTTTCCCCCCGCCCACCCCCGGGGATCTCAGAATATATATGCTAAAGTATCTCAACGTTATTTATTAAAGTTGTATGCCACCTCTCTCACTGATAAGGGAATTATGAACCTTATATGGTTAATTTTAATTTTAAAAAGCATGCAGAAAGTGCAGGCAAAATGTTTTCCCCCTTTCGAAGAGTCTGTTCTGAAAATCTGGATAAGCAGCTTTGTTAAATAAAGCTAGATCAGATGGGTGGGTGTCAGTGGGAAAGATGGGAAAGTTAGCCCTGGCTGTACCTTATAATGTCTGCTTTCTGGCATTCTCTTGCATTTATTTGTAGTCTAATTACTTATTTGAGATCAGAAAAAAAGAGGTAGATTAGTGGTGGGAAATCCATTTTTGTGGTGTAAGCTGTATGCTCTACTTTTCCAAAATCAGAGAAGGAAGGCTATCCAGATCACTTTTCACAAGCAAGCCACTTTTCATTTTGGAGCACTTAATTTTAATATGCAGTTGCTCTAGTGGTCTTTATTTAAAATTGATCATTCTGGCCTATTTTACAAAGGCAGAGATTATAAAGCATGCCTGTATTTTAATCTTTAACACATACTGAGAAACAATGCAGCAGTTCAGTCATTTATATGAAATCATATAGTATAGCTTGCTTTATAAATTGTCCTGACAAAAAGAAGAACTAGTTTAGATCCTATGACAAATATTCATTATATAATAACCAGCTATTTAATTGCATCTTTTTTTAAAAAAATCTTTTTGTTTTTGAAGGGTCAGACTCTAGCACCCATCAAAATGAAATCAGTTTTCAGGTTCCCACTCGGTCACAGCTGGGCGAGAAGTTCTCTTCAGAAGCATCCGGGACAGATTCTACTAGCCAAGATGCCTGTGAAGGAGAAGCACCTGTGGTCCAGTCAGATGAGGAAGATGTGCAAGTGGACACTGCCCTTGTGAATACAGAAACGAAGAGCCCCTCAGATGCCAGCGATGAAAGTGATTAACAGATTGAGGCTTATCACAGTGCCCTATAGGAATTTAGACTGGAGTGAAATGAGGAAAGAAATAATCGGCAGAGCTTATCATGTTTTATCTGCAGAGAGATAACTGTATACAGTCATAGAAAATATGTGTTTTTATATTAAAAGCATTCTGACAGCACATCCATTAAGCAATAAACTCTTGCCTTTGGAACAATTTACCTTCCATGTTGATGCTTAATAAAAAGGACAAATTGTGAATAGATTTATTTTACAATCTTCAGTAGAACTATAATACGGAGATAATTTTATGCCTACGTGGTAAGTTAGTATATTTTTGTTCCTAAAAGACTGAATATAAAAAAGGCTGTTTATCTTACAATGGAGAATAGGCTAGTTATTTGGAACAAGAGACATTGAATGGGTATTTACATTAAAGAATTAGAAAGGTAAATGCTGTATCCCTATAAAAAAGATAAAACGATGTGTATAGAGTACTTGTTACTCTTTGTGTAGAGTGGAACCAAAAATTGAACAACTTTTTTTTTGTGGCTTTCATGCAATTGCCTCAATTGAAGAGATCAGCAATGGGTAAAAAGCAATGCTTGGATTTTATAAAAGAAAGGTTGGGTGACCTTTGGATTTAATCTGGCCCCCCTATACCCCTGTAACTTACATTATTTGTCATCAACATGTCCCAGGGATTCACAGTGGGATGTGAAAATAAGATACATGCTAAGCATGAGATTAAAAACATGTTTAAGAAAACCACACTACTATTTCTCACACAGTGGCCCTTACAGATGGGCAACCTCTATATTAGATATTTAATTTTATACATTTTTTAAAAAATTATTCCACCTTGTACTATTTTTATACATAAGGTGGTGAACATATCTAATACTCCTTTCTCCAGTTTTCCCCACAACAATAATCCTGTGAGGTGAGGTGGGCTGAGAGAAATTGACTGACCTAAAGTCACCCATTCAGTTTTTAGGCCTAAGGCAGGATTAGAAGTCACAATTTCCTGGCTTCTAGTATGGTACTTTAAGCACTATCTGTTATCTTTCATCCCTTTAAGAAATATATTTTACTATTAGTTATTTTTCATCCTTTTAGCTGGGCTTCAGTATTATTCACCATATTGGTAGCTGTAGTGATATTGTGAGGATCACAAGTTCTACTTTCCCCCTTCTGTAAATATTTGAAGGACAGGTGTTCTAATTTGATATGTCTAAGGTCTTGTTCTACGAGGACAAATATACTAACAATTGGCGGCTTTATTTTTTACCTTTTCTAATATTTTAGAAAATATTGATTTAGCTTGCTCACAAAGCCTATGTACTATTGAATTATTCTGTCTCAATGGAATGTGAGAGGGAAAGATAATTCAGTGCTGTAGTTCTTCAAAACCCCTCTGTTTGGACTTCAGATTAGGTGAAACATTTATTTCACTTTTGTTGCAGTAATATAGCTTTGCAAATAACTTGAAGTACTATTCCATAAACTACATCTTTTCTAAGCCCATGATGACAGTTCTAAGTAAGACAGCTAGTTTTAAACCATATGATCTCTACTGCTTTCAGAAGAAAGACAAAGTGTCCAAAAAGTGTATTTTTATTAAACCTTGTATTACAAACCTGAAAAGTAAACAAAATCTGGCAATAAACATGAAGTCTTTCCTTACAAGGAAAGAGCAGAGCAGCGCTAATAAATTAAATGTCAAACTGTAAGCCATAGTCAGAAGTTTACTGTCAAGAAGGAAAAAATACACAGCAAGGCCATAAAAACCGGACAACCACATTGGAAACACTTGACTCTTGTGTTATTGTTAAATATTCCAAAACAATTCAGTCTTCTGCAACAACCAACAATATGTATTTTATAAGACTTTCCTGACAGTCACTCACCACTGGCAAGCTCAGTGCAATATGGGTAGCTCTACGGTTTTGTTGAATTCAATTATGAAACAAGAGTTTGTGAAAACATTTTCCCTTTTTTATTCCACACATACTGTACACACAACCAGAAAAGGGCAACAACTACTCCATTATTATTTTTGTTGTTGTTCAGTGATGTAAGCAGCACTTATAAATGTTACAAGAAAAACCCTGTAAGCATCCAATCCATCCGACGAAGAAAGTGAAACGTAAGGCTTTTCTTCATCTTGTCTCTTTGCCACCCTTCCCCACCCTCCCAAGAAAAGGCTCAAGTATTTAAAACAATTTACAGGCTTATGTACAAAAGTTATGATACTTTTTTTTGTTACACGTGAAAGGAAAAAAAAAATAGACAAGATGGGAGCAAATGCATTTTCACATTCAAAAGAAGTATGCAAACGTGCTAGTGGCTCTAAATGTGATCATACAACAAAACAAAATTAATGCTGACTGTGACAGGGTAAAAACAGCAGTGGAATGAGAATGGAATGTTAAGATTGCACGTCTATGACAAGAAGCATGGCTTCAATCATTTTTCAAGGATGCTATTGAAGGGTTTTTGATAAAGTAGACAACAGCACCAAAAAAACCACAACAACCCAGAATGGATTTCCTAATGAAATCAGGCACAGTTTTCGCTTGCATGCCTCCGCAAAGCAGGCAGTCTTTTTTTTTTTTTCTCTTTCATTTCCTCCTCGAACAGATGCATAGTGAAGTGCTGGTAACAGAGAACATTTTCTCCAAATCTCCCATTTGCCTATGATTAGAAAACTAAGTCCATCTTCAGCTGCCATAACCTCTCAAATAAAAGTGTTAAATTCTCCAATTTAAAAAGGTACAAAACTTTTCCTGCCTGTTACAGAATACAAGCCAAAAGTATAGCAATTTCTTTCAAGTTTTGCCTCCTATCCCCTTTTTTTTTCGCTGTAGAAAAAAAAATCTGCTGACATGATTGGAGAACAAATTATAAAACTCACCAAACTTCAACCTACCCAGAAAAATAAAAGAAGGGGGTTATTTAAAAGCCTTGTCACAATTAGGTGGAAAAAGGCCTTTTTTTGTTTTCAGGCAGCGGGACAAAAACAAATTATCGGTTCCCTTGCTGCTATCAAAAAATGTGTGTGTACAGCAGTTAAAAAAATCCTGCTGAATCAAACTATCCTAAGTATAAAATAAAAATAAAAATAAAATTCAACAGTTTAATGCTAAATCAAAATTAGTTCTCTAAAACCAGAAGAAAATCTTCTGTAGAGCTAGTGCAAAGACAGCTTGTAATCTACAGCAATACTCCAAACTATGATATAATTACAAAAAATATATATAAAATTGACCAAAATGAGAGAGAGTGTTGGCATCTTCATGATTAACTTGAAGCACTTTTGGATGAACTGGAGGATGAAAGTCTTGATGATGGCACGTCAAGGGTTGCTCTCTTGCGAGGCCCTCGTTTTGGTGTAGGCTTGCTGATACAGATCTCAATGGTGCCATTCTTGCCAGATACTTTGCCACAAATTTGATTGACTAAGCTGATGATTTGTTCCTAGTTGAAAGAAAGAAAAAAAAACATTTTTTCTAACAACCAACTTCCTATTCCAAATACCCTGGCAATAATATGATAAATGGAAGGCAAGATAAAGCGACCAAGGCTTTTCTTAATCGACTGGCTGTAATCTGAAGCGATTATTACTACTGCTAGTCTCTTTGTATCACATAGAAAGTTTGTATTTGAGCATTTTTCTGTCTGGGTTGACTGTAGCAACCTGCCCTGTCCCATTTAAAATGTTGGCTTGCAATGTTCAGTTCCCCTTTTCTAGCCATGCCACCTTTTCTGAATGAGCACTGCTGAGTGCATTTATGCCTTCCACTTTCAGTCTTTATAAAAAACATACTAAAACAACTGAAAATCTTCTCTACAAATTGCTTCCTTATCATTACAATGCTTTAATTTCTCCTTTGAGAACCATCATTTTTAGTTTTAGTGAGACCTATGGCCTTATTTTTCTAAAAATGCTCCATTGTGTGTACAGAGCTTCTCTACTAATGGACACGCTAAGGGCTTATTTTGCTGTTGCAAGAGACATCCACCGGAATTTATACCCATGGTAAAACCTGACATTGCAGGTGCTAGAGTAGGTCATGTTGCCTTCATTTGAGTGATCACAGAGTCCAGAACATTTCTCTCTAGTCGGCTGATACTTGTATAATCTTAACAGTAGGTTAGGCCTCAAGAACTGATGAATGTCAAGGCAGTCAAGATTGAAGTTGGTACCAGTCTTGGATCTTAAGCTTTCCAAATACAAAATGCAATTTCAGCTTTAACTGCCAGTATCAGTGTGCAAGAAATGCAAGTAAAGGCCCAGTAGGAGGATCATAAGCTTCCAAAGAAGAAACTTCATGTATTAGATTTGCATTTTCCACTCTGGAGCCCCAGTCACCAATCCTGGCTATCATTTAGTAGTTGTATTTGGGAAAGAGAATGCTAGAGCCGTGAAATCGAGTCCGAAGACCACGAGTCACGCTCGTTCGGTCTGGCGCTGCTTTAAATTCACGATAACCAGCTGAATGAAGCGATTGATATAGAGGTTTGTTTAAGCAAATGTGAAGTTAAGGCGAGAGATGTTCCAGGCAAAAGCCTCTCTTCCCCCTCGGAGCACTGAAGGCGCTAACAAGGTATTGGAAGCTCTGTGATGGTGATTCTTTTAGATAAGACTGATGGAGCTGGTAAGGAATCTCAAGAGGGTAATTAGAGAAAGAGAATCAAAACTGAGAGTTTTGGAGTCTTTTTTGCTATTCCGGCCAACCAAAAGAAAAAGCTGCCTAATCCTGAGAAGGCTGAGCAAAAGCTGGGGACGCTAGGGAGGAGTACCAGGGAGGAGGAGGAGCGTCCTTGTAATTAAGCCCAGCCTATCCAAGAGGAGACTGAAACACCTCCCGCTACTACTGGATGCTCTGAACAGCTCAGGGGAGAATTACACAGTTCTCCCTCTAGGGATGTATGGACTTGCAATTTTGCCAAATGCCACATGATTAAACAACCTCCCCGTTAGTGACTTGATACTGTGGCACAACCCTCGTTCTTCTCACAGAAAAGAAACTCTCTTTTGTGTGTAAGATGAGAGCTGTGATTTTTAGTTTAAACACCTCAAGCTTTCTGGTTTTCCACATGTGCTCTGGATTTCTGCATCTTGTACTGTTAGACTTGTATGACCAATTTCTAATATCTCTATGAGAAAAAATAGTCTAAGAGGAAGTACTGTAGATCCTAACCCAGATTTTCCAATTAGGGATACATCACTTGTAACTGACCAATAACTGATCTTGCCACCTGTTGATGATGTTTAGTTGAGGCTATCACACTCCGATGATATATCTGTCTTAGCTCTTTGAACCTAACAAAAAATGCTGAGTCCTGATTTCCTCTTTGAGGGGAAGGCTTGTTCAGTAATAAGAGAAGTAACCCCCCCAGTTCCCTGGGGAAACTGAGGGATACAACTATGTAGGGT